CACACACACACACACACACACACACACACACACACACACACACACACCAGAATATTATTCAACCATAAAAAAGAATGAAATCGTGCCATCTGCAAAGACATGGATGTCACTGGAGTATAACGCTAAGCAAAGTAAGTCAGCCAGGGAAAGACAAATACCAGATGATTTAAGAAACAAAACAAATGAGCAAAGGGAAAAAGACAAACCAAGAAACAGACTCTTAACTACAGAGAGCACGCTGATGGTGACCAGAGGGGAGGCAGGTGGGAGGAATGGGGAACTAGGTGATGGGGATGAAGGAGGGCACTTGTGAGGAGCACCGGGTCATGTACAGAAGTGCTGAATCACTACACTGTACACCTGAAACTCATATTACACTGTAAACTGGAATTAAAAACCTAATAAAAAAGAAAGAAAATTACCATTTGGTAACCATGACAGTAATATTTGATTCAGTCATGAATTAATTCTGGATCAACTGATGCATGTGAAAACTAGAGGGTGAAAATCTGATGAATAACAGGACTTTTACATAGTTTCAAAGTATCTCCCTACAAGAAACTTCGCTCCACAGAGAAACAGAGTAACTTCACAGGAGAGAAAGTTGGCAGACACCACCCTAACCAAATGGTCAAAGTTCCTATCACCAGTGATGGACAAATATCATGTGCCTCCTGATCGGACTCTCAACATGAGAACACTGACACACTGCACAGGCAGAATCTATTAATGAAGAGAGGGTACAAGGGTCAAATTACAAATCTGTATGCTTTGTGAATGTCATGGCCATGAAAGACAAAGACTGAAACACTGGTCTAGAAGAAAAGAGACAGGACAATGATGCACACCACGTGATTCAGGATCTTCTCTGAGGTAAAGAGCAGCACCAAGACAAACGCCAAAATCCGCAGAGGGTCCTCAGACTGTAAACCAGCACTGTTTCAATGTCCGCTTCCTGATTTGCACATCTGCACTGTGGTTCTGGAGGAGAACAGTCATGTTTTTAGGAAGCATATACTGAAATACTTAGAGGTAAAGGGGCATCACATCTGTTGCTTACTCTCAAGTGGTTTTAGGAAAAAAAGGCTGTACATAAAGATAGAATGAGACAGGGAATGTGATATAATGTCGGTGATACAAGAATCTGGGTGACAGCTCCATGGCAATTCCTTGACTCTTCTTAGAAGTGTCTGAAATTATCTTAAAATAAAAAGTAAAAAAAGTTTTTCCTATCTTAGATTGACCATTGTCAATACTAACCCTGTCTACACAGAAGCAGAGACCTTGCACTGATCCAAATCTTGTTCTGTGGGAGCCAATCACCCTGTACTGAGCAAGTAGCTGAACACGAACCACTCACCTCTCATTATAACTGGGTTGCCCTACACCTGGGACTGCATATTCTGGAACTATCAGAGAGGAACATTTAAAAATCCTTTTTTTTTTTTTTTAAATAGGCATTAAGTGAGAGAAAATATTTAAGTATAAAATGAAAAAAAAGTATAAAAGTTAGTTTGTAGACTGTATGTACAGAAACACAATTCTTAACAAAAATGATCTGAAAGAATGACAGGGACTTTTAAAGAGTTCTGTAGCCACACGCTGGGGAATCTGCAAAGGTCTTTAGAAGTTATCTTCTGAGAATTTCAAGGGTTGGGCTATGTCGCACAAGGTTTTTTGGTTACTTCTGAACTTTTTAATAACTTACATTTGGGCTTAAAAGCCTCCCAAGAAATGCCTAACACACTTAAAATAAATCCAAACCCTCACTAGGCTCTACAAATTCAACACCATCTCCCACTTGTCTGCCCTTTGACCTTGTCAGGAGGAACCTGACAAGCGCAGCCCATTACTGCTCCAAAAATTACGTGTGTGGTCCCCTCTGCTGAGAACACTGTCCCTCCAGACCTTCCCACTTTCTAGTATCATCTGAGAAAGACATTCTTAACCACCCTATCTCTAAGATGCTCCGTATCTCACCTCCGGGGGAGCATTCTCTATCCTTTCCCCTGGCTTTTTCTTTATGGCACTTACCACCTAACGTACTGTGTATCTATTTGCTCTCTCTACGATCGTGTAACCTCCGCAAGGGCAGCCTTGCTGTTTCCCCAGGGCTGAAAGCAGTGCGCAGTCTATAGTAGGCACCAAAACATGTGTTTATAAGATGAATGAACGAAAGTGCTACATCTATTTTTCTTTCACATATTGTAAAGAGCATGAAAATGACCAACACTGACTGTGCCTCAGTGAAGATTCTCCTCGGAAGCAGCACATAAGCTGGGACGTGAGCGGTAAGCAGAAGCTGGCCAGGCAGGGGAGGTGGGAGCCGAGGAGAGCTGGGGCCAGGAGGAAGCAGGCCTGTGAGGAAATATTGATCCAAGGCCCGCGGTGAGGGTGAGGCGGCCAGCTTCAGCCTGGAGGTGTGGGCGCACACACCAGGAGCCTGCAGGCCACGGAGTCTGGATGTTTATTTTAAGGGCTCAAAAACCAGTGAACAGTTTTACAGAAGAGTGACCACCAGGTTTGCTTCTTTTACAGACCACTTTTCAGAAGCAAAGGGGGGGTCCTGAAGAGAGAGGACATGGGCTGACCTAGGATGGCAGCCAAAGAGACTGAGAACTGACCTTTTAGATGAATGAGGACACAATGGACAGATGAATGGATAAAGAAGATGTGGTGTGTGTGTGTGTGTGTGTAATGGAATACTACTCAGTCATCAAAAAATGAATTCTTGCCATTTTCAATGCTATGGACAAAGCTAGAGAATATTATGCAAGAGAAGTCAATCAGAGAAAGACATATGATTTCACTCCTATGTGGAATTTAAGAAACAAAAGAGAGAAGCATAGGTAGAAGAGAAGGAAAAATAAAGTAAGATAAAAACAGAGGGAGGAGACAATCATAGGAAACAAGCTGAGGGTCGCTGGAGGGGAGGGGGGTGAGGGGTTGGGGTAACTGGGTGATGGACATTAAGGAAGGCACTGATGTAATGAACGCTGGGTATTATATAAGACTGATGAATCTGACCTCTACCTCAAACTAATACACTATGGGTTAATTGAAGTAAAATAAAGAAAAAAAAAAGATTAATGAGGGCACAGAGCCAGAGTGTGCTGAATGCATATTCAGATTTTCCAGAAATCCTACAGTAAGATATTTTCTGAAAACACCAGGCCACGAAGATATGAAAAACTCTGGCAGCTTAGTGTTATATTAACGTGAAAAGGCAGCAAAGTGGACAGTGCAAGTCTTGGGCTCAGATCACAACTATGCTTTTATAGCACAGATCACAACTGTGATTTTATAGCAAATCACTTCAATTTCCTGAGCCTGTTTTCTCATCTATAAGGTAGGGATAACACATTCATCTTCTGTGATCTTGCCAAATAAAGCAAGTAAACTACCAATGCCTGGCACTTGAGAATTAGAAAAGGAGTCCTTCGTTAGCATGGCCTCATTGTGCGATCCTGCTCACCGCCACCTGGGGGCATGATCCTACAGGATCACTGTCTCATTGTGCTATCCTGCTTATTGCCACCTCGGGGCATGATCCTGCGGGATCACCGTCTCATCGTGCGATCCTGCTTACCACCACCTCGGGGCATGATCCTGCGGGATCACCATCTCATTGTGCGATCCTGCTCACCGCCACCTCGGGGCATGATCCTGCGAGATCACCATCCCATTGTGCGATCCTGCTCACTGCCACCTCGGGGCATGATCCTACAGGATCACCATCTCATCGTGCGATCCTGTGTCACCACAGCCTCACAGTGTGATCCTGCGGGATCACTGCTTCACAGTGTAATACTGTTTTGTCAAACCTTTTCCATGTGTGGTTCCATTTGTTGAGAAACATGAGGTAACCACGGCTACAGTTATATTTATGTTACAACAGGATCTAAAAATACTGCCTGAATTTTGAATGAATCAGAGTATACATTTTAATTCATTAGGGGTATATACATGTTAAGACTTTTCTTTTTAAAACTTTTTTTTTTTAAAGATTTTATTTATTTATTCATGAGAGAGAGAGAGAGAGAGGCAGAGGGAGAAGCAGGCTCCCAAGGAGCAGGGAGCTCGATGCGGGACTCGATCCCAGGACCCTGGGATCATGACCTGAGCCGAAGGCAGACGCTTAACCATCTGAGCCACCCAGGCGCCCAATACTTTTTTTTTAAATCTGTTTTTTTTTTTTAAGATTTTATTTTTAAGCAATTTTTACTCTGCATGTGGGGCTCGAACCCACAACCCCAAGATCAAGAGTTGCATGCTCCACCTACTGAGCCAGCCAGGTACCCCTTAAAATCCATTTTAAAAAATGATCTTCAAAACAAAAAATAATCCCTAGATTATTGAAATAACAGACTCACCTCTTCAAGGGAAGATTCCAAATTCATTCCAAAAGCAACTCCCATTAGTCCAAAGAGAGAAAGAGAGAAGGTTCCCATGGTCAACTGTAGGTTCAACCTCATCATCACATTACGGTGGCTGGAGAGGGGAAGGGCTTATATCAGAAGGGCCCCCTAACTATACACAGCAAATTCACGAAACCATCTATTAAAGACCACAGAAATTAAATCTACTCCTTTAAAAAAGGACATCTTTCTGTGTAGCATTTATAGATGATAATGATGGTATAACTCCTCCCAAAATGACAGTTCCTTAAAAGCTTTATCACTTCAGAATTCCTTTAATTGTTCTGTAGGATGCTTTCTTACCTGTCCAGATTGATGAATATGATACTTTGTGAATCATCAATCAGTACCCTGAGTTCCCGGGCTGCGTTGGAAAGATCCTCAGCTAATCGGTAGTAGTTTTCCAAGAGGAGCTCCATCTCTTCTGCGTGGTCGATTCCAGCACTGCTCTTTTCACTTCAATTAAGAGTTAAGATAATTAGCATACTTTGTGCCTCTTTAACTCATGCCTCCCACCCCCTACCAAGGAGAGTAAGTAGGACTGAAGTACTCTGTGAAAGATACTTCTATAATATATTAGACACAGACTGGCCTAATAAGCAAAGCAAACAAGAGTTACAAGTGTGTTCAAGTTTCCAATACTGTATCTACCTGCTATATAACAGCCTTTATAATCTTAATTTTTTCTTATTAGAATATAGATAACTAATGTCCCAAGATGCTTAAAAAAATCTGTATAGATTGTGGAAACTATACACATTACAGAGGTGTCTCCATTTATTTCTAATACTTGTCTATAAAGAAAATGAAATATTCTGAGTACTTAAAAAGTAAACATTTAACTTGAGTGTGCATAAGAAGAGTAAATAATTTCTAATTCTGTAAGAGATAAAAGGTTTCTAAGATAAGCATTTTTATATTAGACGAAAGCTACAGAATATATGCCAGTGTCTTACTTTTCCTTCATCTCCCTTTCTCCGCCCCCGTGTGAGTATCTTTCCCTCTCTTCCACTGTACTCCCCAGGCTAAGTCATTCGGATAGATGTGTGTGCCACTTTGGGGGTCAGTCCCTTGAAGACAAAGGTAATGGTTTATATTCATCACAGCCCAGCACAGTGACATGTACACAGTAAACACTCAATATATCCTCATTAAACTGAATCAGATGCAATATATACGGGAAAATAGTCAAACAACTGGGGATAAAAAGTGCCTATATTTTCTATTCTGGAGAAAACGTTATGTTCTCTAAGAAGAACCACCCTGCAGAACACGGAAGACTGATCCTAACAAAGTAAATAACAAAGCAGGATTATACACTTACAAGACTTGCGGGTCACTCCACTTTGTCAGACACAGCTCTTCCAGTAACTCTTCTTCATCCAAGATCTCCAAAATGGATTCTTTGAAAATTTTAATATCTGTTTCTAACTCTGACAGACTAGAACAGTAATTGTATAGAAATGATCAATAACATTAACTTATAAACACATTTCCCTATTTAAAAAAGTATCTTTTTAAAGTATCTTATCAAGCCGACCCACTTATATATTCATGGTAAACACCAACTTATAAAAAAAATTTTTTTTTTTTTGATATTTACCATGCACATTAAGAATCAATTCCTATCCAAAAATAAAGACCCTAATACAGCCTTTCATGCAAAACAGCTTTTCAATAAACATTAGTCTATGTGCCCTTTTTAGCTAAGCTTCCCACCTAGGCTACCTTCCTACTTTGAAGGCACAGAGAGAAAACCATTACCATTAGCAAAACTAATTGGTATTTTTTTTTTATCTGAATTAATGTTACACATTTTCTATCAGGACTACTAAGAGAGAAGCTTAAGATATTTTTGTCTACCTCCCAAATTGGTAAATCACCCATATTTACCTTTTGCCATTTTGCAGTAAGATGTGCAGTTTGCTTCTGTCTACAGAAGAATGCTTGGGATCCACCAAAGCTTCCAATGTCTCAAGGATCAGTGGCTGCAAAATGCTAAGTTTCCCCTGAAGAGTGCTGATCTAGATAACAACATGACCTTTCATAAGAATCAAAACAATCTTTTTAGAATACTCAGGGTCACTGAATCCTCTGATTAAACACAGAAATCTGTAATAGCTACAAAGGCTGGTAATGTTTCAGACCATGGTCAGGGCTGGAATGATTCAAAAACTAGATCTACCAGGTTAAAAGATAACCATGCATAATGCTACCAGGTTTGCATTTGGTGGACTGGGAATTAACTCTCATAAGAGTCTTCCCCCACAAACATTTATTATGAAAAGAATGCAAGATTGATTAAAATAAAGCCTGCCATTCCATGGTTAAAACACATACTTTACACTTGGTAAACAATATCCATGTTCTTTGTAAACAGAATACAGTTCAAAAGTCCTGTGAAAAAAATTCTTCCAAAAACCAAAACATAACTTGGGACTTTAAGAAATCAATCAGTGTCAAGTCAAAAGTACACTCATTATTGAGGCGTCAAGCAGGAAAGCACTGATAGAGCTACATCCATTGTTAAAATACTGAAATACTTCTGTACCAGCTGGTAAACAGTGTAGGAGAGTTAAGCAGTGACTGTGAGACGACGAATGGCACAAATGCCAGCATGTACTACTTCTCTCAGCATGAGCTCGTGAGAGCTTATTCAGCCCACGTAGTCTGCCACTGACTGCACCTTCCCTCCTTTCCCTCCCCGGCATGCTCCCTGTTCAGGAACTGTACCCCAACTAGTCACCACCTCCTTGGCTGGTGCTCGCTGGTGCTCCTCCCTCATGAACCTGAGCGAGTGGGGGATGTAGCCATTTCCTACTCCCTCGGTGCAGGGCAGGGCAGACAAAAGGGAGGGTCCTGGGTTCATCCAATCCTCACCCACTGCACATCCTCTTTACCTGCTTCCTTCCCTCACTCTGGTTAGCATGCCCTAGAACCAACTGTTGCGTGCAGCCAGTTCCTGAACAGTACTATCCTGACTACTGGGGGGAAGAAAAGATAATGAACAATTTGTGGGGCCAGGAGGGCAGTGACCACCGTTGTTCAGGGCCTGACAGGGTCCCTAGACACCCAGTAACTATCCACATAATGGGGGAATCATTAGAAGAATTAGACCTGGTTCCTATGTCAAAGTATATCTCAAACAGTGGCATCATCTAGCGGTCTCCAAGGATTGTACACACAAATCAGAGTGATATATAAAGTATTAGAATGATTTGAGCTGTAACGTTTATCATGTGTATGCAGTTTTACAACACACGATTTAGTTACAGAATAAAATAGAATACATTTAAAACTTTTTTGATATGTTCTCTTATATCCTATTTAGGGTGTTAAGTATTTTGAATTATCACCCCTAAAATACAGTTATCAAAATTATACAAAGGACAGCCAACTTCAAATGTGCTTAACTGAATGAATGTCATAATATGACTCTCAGACTCTATAAACTGTACCTAGAGACCTCGGATCTATTTGATTGGATCATACAGCTTAAGAAGTAAGTACTTTCGCCACACAGGATCCTCACAGATGTTTTTGTCTGGAGGTAGGGTGTGGTCAGGGAAGGTGCCATTGAAACAATACCAGCTTGTCTTCCGACTCAACAGCATTTTAAAACAAGAACAAATTCAAGAAGTGAAATAAAAACAGGCTTACCCAATACTGTAGGAGTGCTTCTATAGCCCTAAACTCAAAAGGTAAAGGGTAGGTGACAAGCTGTCCTTCTCCAGCCAACTGTGAAGGGAGTTCCCGGAACAGCCATCGCTCTAAATTTAAATTACGATAATCTAGTATCAGAAGACACTCTGGAGTTATCACAGCTTTCAAATACTGCAAAAAAAAACAACAAAAAAAACAATTATCCATATGTACACACAAGCACACACACATACATACATGAAAGGTGCAGAGCTACAGGAAAAGAACATTCATAAAATAGGGTTTAATACTGTTTTAATTCTGGATTAAGCCTAAACCAAATCACTACTAAAAAAAAAAAAAAAAAAAGACATACTTTTTAAAGAAAGGAAGCCTAAAAATATATGTACTTCTAACTCAATCTCAGCACAACTGGAATTAAGCTATATATCAAGACTTCCAGGATAATCAGGAGAACAACAGGGAACAAAGAAACCAAGATAAGGTATTCTTAAGTCATGTATTTGGTAGACTTTTAGAAAAGATTTAGTTTAATCATGATTACTTTGGCTGAAGTGGGAAAGTTGCCTTTTTAAACTGTCACCAAACACATTAAGCTAATTTGAAATTATAAAGATAAAACAGAGCCTTAGTACTCTAATTTAGAGCACCAAGAAATTAGAAATTTACTCTAAAGACTGGCATCCGTTAAGTTAGAAGAGTAGCCTGTGGCCACTGTATTAGTGATATAAAAATTAGAGATTTTTCATTTTCCCCAACATATTATGACAATTTTTATACATAAAAGTTGAAAGATTACAGAGTGAACACCTATATACATATCATTTAGACTGTACAAATAACATTCTGCTAAATTTGCATCACACACTTCTCTCTTCATCAAAGAGATAATTCTTTTAAAAAATGATCAGGGGAAAGAAAAAATTATTTTAATTCCAGTATACTTAACAGTATTATCTTAGTTTCAGGTGTACAATACAGTGATTCAGCAATTCTATACATTAATCAGTGCTCATTCGTGGTAAGTGTGCTCTTTATTCACCAACACCTATTTCTCCCATCCCCCACCCACCTCCCCTCTGGTAACCATCTGTTTGTTCTCTATAGTGAAGAGTCTGTTTCTGCCTGTGCTCTCTTCTAGGATTTTTATGGTTTCAGGTCTCACATTTAGGTCCTTAATCCATTTTAAGTTTATTTTTGTGTATGGTGTAAGAAAGTGGTCCAGTTTCATTCTTTTGGATGAGGCTGTCCAGTTTTCCCAGCACCATTTATTGAAGACAGACTGCCTCTTTCCCACTGCATGTTCTTGCCTCCTTTGTTGAAGATTAATTATCTCTGGGTTTTCTATTCTATTCCTGATCTATTTTTGTACTATTACCATACTGTTTCGATTTCTACAGCTTTGTAATATATCTTGAAATCTGGGATTGTGATGCTTCCAGCTTTTTCTTTTTTAAGACTGCTTTGGCTAACTGGGGTCTTTTGTGGTTCCATACAAATTTTAGGATATCTGTTCTAGTTCTGTGAAAACTGCTCTTGGTGGGAGGAAAAGATGGTGGTGACGCAGGACACTAGGCTTGCCTCCTCCCACCAGTACAACTAGGTAACTATTAAACCATCCTAAATACCCCAGAAATCAGTCTGATGATTGGCAGATCAAACTCCACAACCAGAAGTAGAAAGGAGGCCACAAAGATAGGAAGGATGGAGCTGCAACTTGTGGCCACTGTGGTGGGGAGGGAGCCATGGCTGGGGGGAAGCATAAGAGATAAACTAGCACACGGGACAGTGCACAGGAAAAACAAAGCCCCACAGCAACCGGCGTGAAAAGCAGGAGAGCCTGAATTTCATGAGTTCTTGTAACCAGTGGGGCTAAAAGCCTGGAGTTTTAAATGTCAGCATGCATGGAGCAGAGAGGACACTGGGGCAGCTCTTGGAGAAGAGGCAGGGCAAACAGACCTTGGACATACAGCATGGAAACAGCAATCTGAAGAGCACCTGGGGCACACAGTGGGGAAATGTTAGTTGCTCATCTTGGAATGTGTCCCAGAGAGGCAGCATTCATGGAGAGACCACTCTAGGAACAAAGGTACAGGTAGGCGCCATTTCCCTCCCCTGCCGCTCAGCATAAACACAGAGGCACCTGCAGAAACCAGCCTAGCAGCGACCCTCACTACCTAACTTGCTTACACCAAGTCTCACCACCCCTCACTCTGGCGGAACAGGTCGTCTCAGTCACAGCGCAGCAGGCCCCTCCCTGAGAAGACCAGCCCAATCCCCTGCTCATACATCTCCTGACCCAGGAGTTTTGTGAGGCCTTGGTTTCCATGGCGGTAGCAACAGCTCTCATTTCACAAGCAGACCAGAACACACCTAGTTAAAATGTGCCACATTCAGGCCAGGGACCAAACATGGTCCACAACAGGCAAAGAGAGCCTCTGCAGATCACTGGCCTGAAGGATAAAGTAGCCAGAACACAACAGCAGAGCTCTCCCAGCACACACTGGAGATACTCGTAGAAGGGCCAGGCCCTGGGAAACAGGGGACACTACACTGCAGGGACTACAGGACCTCTTTTTCGTAAGGCCATTATCTTTAAGAAGAGGAGACATAGCTGACTTTCCTAACACATAGAAAGAGGCCCAGAGACTAAGACAAAATGAGAAGACAGAGGAATTTATCCCAAATGAAAGAACAGGACAATGCCACAGCCAGAGATCTAAGCAAAGCATATATAGGTAACATGCCTGATGGAAATTTAAAACAATGATGATCATAAGGATACTAGCTGAACTTGAGAAAAGAGTGGAGAACATCAATGACATCCTTAATGAGATGAGGAATAATAAAGAGATAAAGGGGTCAATAAATGAAATGAGAAACATTTCGTTTGATGGAATGAAGAAAAGGCTGGAAGGAGCAGAGGAATGAATTAACGACCTAGAAGACAGACTAATGTAATCAAGCTGAACAAAAGGGAGGAAAAAGAATTATGCAGCAGAACAGACTTATGGAACTCAGTGACTCTATCAACTGTAGTATCATTCATATTGTAGGAGTCCCAGAAAAGAGAGAAAACTGGATAGAGAATTTACTTGAAGAAGTAATAGCTGAAAACTTCCATAATCTGGGGAATGAAACAGATATCCAGATTCAGGAGGCAAGGAACTCCCAACAAAATCAACAAAAGCATGTCCACACCAAGACATATTGTAATTAAAATGGCAAAATATAGTGATAAAGAAAAAAATACAAAAAGCAGCAAGACAAAGATGATAGTTATATACAAAGGAAACCCCATAAAGCTATCAGCAGATTTTTCAGCAGAAACTTTCCAAGACAAAGGGGTGGCATGATGTATTCAAAGTTCTAGATGGGAAAAACCTGAAGCCAAAAATACTTTATCCAGCAAGGCTATCACTCAGAATAGGAGAGTGAGAGTTTGCCAGAGAAACAAAAACTAAAGGAGTTCATGACAACTAAACCAGCCCTGCAAGAAATATTAAAGGGGAATCTTTGAGTGCAAAGGAAAGACTAAAAATGACAGTATGAAGTTTAGAAACACAAAAGCAGTAAAAATATATCTATAAAAAAATCAGTCAATGAACTCACAAAATGAAAGGATGTAAAATATGATAACCATATACCTAAATCATGATGGGGGGCGGAGAATGGTTCCAAACTTAAATGACTATCAACTTCATAAAGACTGCAATATGTAGATGTTATATTCAAATGCAATGATGACCACAAGTCAAAACCAATTATAGATATGTAAAAAAATAAAGGACTCCAAGTCTACCACTAAAGAAACCCAGCAAACCACGAAAGAAAGACAAGAAAGGATCAGAGAAAATCTTGAGAAACAACCACAAAACAAGTAATAAAGTGGCATAAATACATTTCTACCAATAATTACTTTGAATGTAAGTTGACTAAACATTCCAATCAAAAGACATAGGGTATCAGAATGGATTAAAAAACAAACAAGACTGATCTATCTGCTGCTTACAAGAGACTCATTTTAGACCTAGACACAGATTGAAAGTGAGGGGATGGAAAAGTATCTTCATGCAAATGGAAGTAAAAAGCCAGAGTAGCATACTTTTATTGGACAAAACAGACTTTGAAACAAAGACTGTAATGTGAAACAAAGAAGAACACTATATAGTAATAAAAGGGACAATCCAACAAGAAGACATAACAATTGTAAATATTTATGCACCCAACATGGGAGCACCCAAATACACAAAACAGTTAATAACAAATATAAAGGAGGTAATACTAATACAATAATAGTAGGGGGCTTTAACACCCTATTCACATCAATGGACAGATCATCTAAACAGAAAATCAACAAGGAAACAATGGCTTTGAATAACACACTGAGCCAGATGGATCTAACAGATACATAGAGAACATTCCCTCCTAAAACAGAATACACATTCTTTTTGAGTGTATGTGGAACATTCTCCAGAATAGATCATGTATTAGGCTACAAAACAAGCCTCAATAAATTCAAAAAGACTGAAGTCATACCATGCATCTTTACTGACCACAATGCTATGAAACTAGAAATCAATTGTAAGAAAAAACCTGGAAAGAACATAAATATATGGCGATTAAATAATATGCTACTAAACAATGAATGGGCCAACCAGGAAATAAAAGAAGAAATAAAAAGGCACATGGACACAAAGGAAAATGAAAATACAATGGTTCAAAACCTTTGGGATACAACAAAAGCGGTTCTAAAAGGGAAGTATATAGATACAGGCCTTCCTCAAGACACAAGAAAAATCTCAAACAACCTAATCTTATACCTAAGAAAGCTAGAAAAATAACAAAGCCTAAAGCCAGGAGAAAAAAGGAAATAAAAATTAGAACAGAAACAAATGATATAGAAACTAAAAACACAACAGAATAAATGAAACCAGGAACTGTTTTCTTGGGGGGAGGGAATAAAAATAGATAAACCCTAGCCAGACTTAACAAGAAAAAAAAAGAACCGAAAATAAAATCACAAATTAGAGAGGAGAAATAATAACCAACACCGCAAAAATACAAACAGTTGTAAAAGAGTATTATGAAAAACTATGCCAACAAACTGGACCACCTAGAAGAAATGCTTAAGTTCCTAGAAACTAGTACCAAAATTGAAACAGATTGATGTAGAAAATTTGAACAGACTAATTACCAGCAATGAAATTGAATCAGTAACCAAAAAACTTCCAACAAAAGTCCAGAATCAGATGGCTTCACAGGTGAATTCTACCAAAAATTTAAAGAAAAATTATCCATTCCTCTCAAACTATTTAAAAAAAAAAGGAGAAAAAACTTCCAAATTCATTCTATGAGGGTACTGTTACCCTGACACCAAAACCAGATAAAGTTACCACACACACACACACAAAAAAAGAACCACAGGCCAGTATCTCTGATGAACACAGATGCAAAAATCCTCAACAAAATACTAGCAAATCAAATCCAACAATACATTAAAAATACATTAAAATAATCATTCACCATGATCAAGTGGGATTTATTCCTGGGATGTAAAGGTGGTTCAATATTCACAAATCAATCAATGTGATACATCACATTCATAAGAGAAAGGATAAAAACCACATGATCATTTCAATAGATGCAGAAAAAGCATTCGACAACGTACAACGTCCATTCATGGTGAAAACCTTCCAAAAGTCAGATTAGAGAGAACATACCTCAACATAAAAAGGCCAAATATGAAAAACCCACAGCAAACATCATACTCAAAAAACTAAGCTTTTTCCCTAAGATCAGGAACAAGATAAGGATGTCCAGTCCCACCACTTTTACTCAACACAGTACTGGAAGTGCTAGCCACAGCAATGAGGCAACAAGCATCCAAATTGGTAAGGAAGAAGTACAATTTTCACTGTTTGCAGATGACATGATAGTATATATAGAAAAACCTTAAAGACCACCAAAAACCCACTAGAGCTTATACACGAATTCAATAGTCGCAGAATACAAAACCAAGGCACAGAAATCTCTTGTATTTCTATATGCCAGTAATAAAGCAGCAGCAAGAGAAATTAAGAAAACAACCCCATTCACAACTGCACCAAAAACCATAAGATACCTAGGAAAAAACTAACTAAAGAAGTAAAAAATCTGTACTCAGAAAACTACAAACACTTATGAAAGAAATTGAAGAAGACACAAAGAAATGGAAAGACATTCCATGCTCATGGGTTGGAAGAACAAATATTGTTAAAATGTCTATACTACCCAAAACAATCTACAGATATAATGCAATCCCTATCAAAATACCAACTGCATTTTTCACAGGCCTAGAACAATCTTAAAATTTGTATGGAATCACAAAGACCCCAAATAGCCAAAGCAATGTGGAAAAAGAAAAAGCCGGAGGCATCACAATTCCAGACTTCAAGCTCTATTACAAAGCTGCAGTCATCAAGACAGTATGGTACTGGCACAAAAACAGACACAATGATCAAGAGAAAGGAATAGAAAACCCAGAAATGGACCCACAACTATCTGGTCAACTAATCCTGACAAAGCGGGAAAGAACGTCCAATGGAAAAAAGACAGTCTCTTCAACAAATGGTTTGGGATAATTGGGCAGCCTCATCCAAAAGAATGAAACTGGACCACTTTCTTACACCATACACAGAAATTAAAAATGGATTAAAGACCTAAATGTGAGACCTGAAACCATAAAAATCCTAGAAAAGAACACAGGTAGTAACTTTTTTGACACTGGCTGTTAACATTTTTCTAGACATATCTCCTGAGGTGAGGAAACAAAAGCAAAAGTGAACTATTGGGACTACATCAAAATAAAAAGCTTCTGCACAGCAAAGAAACAGTCAACAAAACTAAAAGGCAACCTATGGAATGGAAGAAGATATCTGCAAATGACATATCTGAGAAAGGGATAGTGTCCAAAACATATAAAGAACTGATCCAAAAAACAAATAATCCAATTAACAATGGGCAGAAGACATGAACAGACATTTCTCCGAAGAACACATCCAGATGGCCAACAACAGACACATGAAAAGATGCTCATTATCACTTATTATCAGGGAAATGCTAAATCAAAACTATAATGAGAAACACCTGACACCTTAAAGAATGGCTAAAATCCATAACACAAGAAACAAGTGTTGGTGAGGATGTGGAGAAAAAGGAACCCTCATGCACCGTTGATAGGAATGCAAACTGGCGCAGCCACTGTGTAAAACAGTATGGAGGTTCCTCAACAGGGTAAAAATAGAACTACCCTAAGATCCAGCAATTGTTGTACTGGTTATCTACCCAAAGAATACAAAAATACAGATTCAAAGGGATACATGTACTCCTATGTTTACAGCAGCATTATTTACATAGCCAAGATATGGAAGTGGCCCAAGTATCCACTGGTTGATGAATGGATAAAGAAGATGTGGTATATGTGTATCATGGAATATTATTCAGGCATAAAAAAGAATGAAATCTTGCCATTTGCAAAGATATGGATAGAGCTAGAGAGTATAATTCTAAGCAAAATGAGTCAGAGGGACAAATACCAGACGATTTCACTCATAAATGGAATTTAAGAAAGTAAAGGAGCAAAGGAAGGAAAAAAAAAAAGACAAACCAAGAAGCAGAATCTTACCTATAGAGAATAAACTAATGGTTACTGGAGGGGAGGTAGGTAGGGAATGGGGGAAAAAGGTCATGAGGATTAAGGAGTGCACTTGCTATGAGGAGCACTGGTGATTAAAATAAAAACTTGGGGGTGCCTGGGTGGCTCTGCGGGTTAAGTGCCGTCTGCCTTCAGCTCAGGTCATGATCCTGGAGTCCGGGGACTGAGCCCCACATCGGGTTCCCTGCTCAGTGGGGAGTCTGTTTCTTTCTCTGCCTTTCACCCCGCTCATGCTCTCTCTCTCAAATGGATAAATAAAATTAAAAAATAAAATAAAAACTTAAAAAAATTAATAAAAATGCTGTTGGTATTTTGATAGGGATTGCATTAAATCTGTGGATTGCTTTGGGTGGTATAGACATTTTAACAATATTTGTCCTCCCAATCCATAAGCACAGAATATCTTTCCATTTAAGTTAAAATTATAAACTTTAGGGGATATTCCTGGTCTATTTGGAGAACCAGAATGTTCTTGGTAGCTGAAGTTATACTATAATGACACGTAACTGTATACAACTGAACATGTCTATTATAAATCAAGATTCTTTCTCTTATCATTTCAGAAACTAGAGACCAAATTCAAGCAGTGAGAACAGAGACTACAGTCATAACTTTTCCTACATAAAATAGAGCAGAGTTATGCCTTTCATGTATAGCATCCATGAAAGTCTGAGTTCCACTCACAATGACACATTACACTATACAGTATCCTATGTTTTACACAGCCATTTCATTACAAAATTGCTTTTAACGTAGATATTGATCAAGATGGCTAGGAAGGAACTTTTGTAAGATTCCAGTGAGAAATGCAGATGACATAAAACCCTTTACCTCCATTCTCATGATAATCCTATTGTTTCTGGTTGTGATGCTCATCACATGCTGAAACCTCAAATCTCTGGCTTGAAGACCTAATTCTTGATATAAGTCAGTTTTCTTCTTTTCTATAAAAGAAATATTTTCGACAAAGAGTGTGTGCCAAAGCAATTAATGGAAGCCTTTAGTATCAGGGCATCCTTTCCTCCAACAGCGACATCATTTTCTACTACCAGAAACAAGCCAAAATAAGTCTTTTTAATAGCCACTTTTATCTCAAAAACATACGCTAAATTTGGTCAAACTCTAATAATTCTTTTCTTATCTTATAAGAAAAGACACTTCATAAAATTTCTTTGTATTTAGATGTCCCTTGGGACCAGTATAAAATCCACAGCCACACACAATTAAGACAGTATCAATTTCTAGCTCTAGAAATGGATCATTTTTATTTTTAAATACAGATTATACAGAACGACATTTCTGATGTTGTCTATCTTCAGTATTTTAAATCTGTGAACAGAGAATTCAATTTTCTTGGTTCTTGGACTAATACGAGAAAATAGTTTTCTCACTAGATTCTCCCACCCGAAAACTAACCTTATTACTTAAGAGAAAGAATAACGGATGAAGAAACTCAAGAAATGGTTAAAGTGGCATCCAATCACACCTGTGACAGAGCGCTAATTAGAACAGTCATTTGAAGGAGATAATGGGCAAAAAATACCCCAAATTTCCCACCAGGATCTCGGCAAAAGCAGGAACAGGATCATGGGGCTGGAAGCACATGGGAGATCTGAATGAAGCCTGTATCTGAGGTCAGACAGTAAAGTGATGCTTAGTAATTGTCCATAAGAGTGATCATCAGCAGAGTGCCATCTAGTGCCCTGTCCCTCCTGTCTTGCCCATTGCCACCGCAGTGTCGGTAGTATTATATAAGTCTGCCTTAAATGTGGAACAGGAAATGTATATGTGGACTAGGGCATGGAAAGGGAGACTAAAGAAAAGAAACAAAATGTGCTCCAGCTGCATAGCAGCCTCTGCTCTCAAAAAATTCCTTTAACATCCTGTTAGAAAGTGGCTCCTGACAAAAAAACAGAAACCAATTCTGGGAGAACATGCACAATCCAGGTGTTGCCAGTTCCAATTAGGACTGATGGACAAATGCTGAAGATAGATCTCTTTCAATACACCCATACACACAGACTATCCTACTCAAAACACTGCAATTTCTTGATTTTCATCAGATTCACTCATTCAGATTTAAAAAGTGATTTATAAGAAAATGAAAGATACTCACCAAAAGAAGTAACATTTCCCTCTTTGTCAAATTTTGTCTGAAGACAGATAATAAAAACACGATATTATTTTCTCCCAAACTAGCTCTTTACAGTATTACACCGTATGGTATTATGACAGCTCCCAAATACAGCAGTGCACAGATAAGCCATAACTGCTTCTTTAGGTTAAATTCAGTTATGAGTTAAAGGTTAAAAGAATCCCTTTCTCCTCTGCTAGGACAAATGTGACCTTTGATTAACTTTCTGTCTTGGCTCCCCTGGAAATCTGGTAAGAGTATCAGTTGTGTTACTAAGCTTTAGCTTTACTAAACATTGCTTATGGGAAAAATGCTCAATGCCTGGTAGATTGCTTGGGGCCAGGAAGACTATGAACGAATTATGGATACCTGGTGGGAAGCCATCCCCCTGCTTTTCCTTCAGTGGGGTGGCTCTTATAACTGGCCGTGTTCCTTGCAGGAATCCTGCATAGGCTTTGGAGATGGTTACAAGAGATACCAACACTAAAAGGTATGGGGCTTCTAAGCTAAGGTGGAACTTGCACCCACCTTTAAGAACATCAACTCCTTGCACCTGCTGTCACACAGGGTCCAGAGAAGCCGCTGGATGGCTACAAGGACTTCTCTGGAAGAGGAAACACCTGATGCTGCCCTTTTGCGTTTCCTATCCTTTATCCTTCTGAACTGAGTGAGACCACATGTGGCTTATCTTGTGAATCTAAGTATCTACTGGAGGCTATGTCGTCTCTTTGGTGAGTGTTGTAGAATCAACAAAGATTTACAGAAAAGGCCTCTTCTGATAATTTGAAAAGAGGACATGATGCAGAAAATATACTTATTTCCTATAAAGCAGAGGAAACATTTTTCTGAAATACTTGTCCACAAGTACTGAATACTTGTCAAGTTTGAATATGCGCTGGAATGTACTAATTACTATTAAATACGCATGTTCAGAAAAACTCTAAGGTATAGCTGAAGGTACAAGTGCTGGGTTATTACCATGGAAATGTATACATGCTCTGTTAATAGCAACAGAATAAAATCTCAGTGTATATTTTAGCTTGCTTTTCACAAGCAAAGATCAATATGAGTACCATAAGCCATCAGTGTTAAAGGGCAAATTTACGTCAAAAGAAACTATTTTTTGTAATATAGACTAGCTTTCCTCAAATTTATTTCACAGATAGTATCTGCTGCAGAAAATTTGAAATAAAGTAAATCACATAAGACAAATTTTAGAGAAAACCACGCCAATATTTTATTGAATGTTCTCCCAGACTTTTCCTACTCAATATATTCATGTTACACTTTTCTGCAGTCTCTCCTCCATTTTCAACTTAATACAGGAGTATTTCTGCATCTCAAAATTTACCTTTACCGTTTTCCTTTAATGAGATATTTTCTGATAAAAAATCATACAAACTGATTTTTTTAAATGTTTATCTTGTAAAGTAACATCATCTACAGCGAGCTGATTAGCAAGCTCTCATTTCAAATAGTATCAACTAATTTTCTTAGGTGTTCTTGCGACACAATGATTTCACCTGCAAAGAACCTTCTTTCAATATTTAATAACTGAATTTATTCCTGGCCAAATGTTCTAGAACATTGAATAACAGTGTTAACTTTCATATGTAATTCTGGGGGTTATTTTGTTGCAAAGTTTATAAAGAAAAGTTCTTATGTTAATAAGCCTAAATAATGATGATGATAAGGGCTAATATATATTGAATGCTTACATGTGTGAGGGTTTTATATACAGTTGTTAATTCAAAACTCACAACAGTTCTATAAGGTAGGTACTATAATCCCCAGTTTAGAGATGAGAAAACAAAAGCATAAAGATGTTATCATACCCTGTCAGAGTCCACCAAGTTAATACTAAGAGGCAGAGCTCAGATCTGAATTTAGGAATGCTAGTTCAGAACAAGCACATTACTTTTTTTAACTCAACTTTTTCTAAAAAAAAAATTAAAGCCCTACAAAAAAGTTGCAAGAATATCTTACAACCAATTCCCATGTGACTTTCACCTAGCGTCATCTTTTGCTAACATTTTGCCCGATGGCCTAATTTTTCTCCTTCGAGATATGTGGGTGTGATACACATTATTGCTTATTATTTTCTCCTGAATCTTTTCAGAGAAAGTTGCAGAGATCATGAACCTTCAAAGCATGCACTCTTAAATATTACACTTTGCTGCCTTCAAAATGCTTCTGCATATATTACGTTGCATAGCACAGGATCAAGCACCTATGGCTAACAGCCTTCAAGGACTTCTACATGGATTCACAGGGAAATCTTGAGAAGGAAGTGCTGAACTGTGATTCGAACAACCAGTTCAGGATTAAAAGAAGACTTCCACAGTCAACAGCAAAGTTCCAAGGGTGCTGTTAAGTAAATCTAGCTGGCACTCAGGTCACTAGCTAAAAAACACAAAGACGAGAGAACTTAAAAGTATAATGATTCACTATAAAACAAAAAATAAGTATTACCTTAGCCGACCAGTCTAACCCAGTTAACTTAATAAGTATGGGAAATACTGTGTAAGTTATTAAACATACCATACATACTCACCACAGTAAACACTGGCGCTACACTGGCTAAAGTGGCTTGAGAGACATCAGAAGTTCTAAACCGGTGCGTTTCACCTGAAGAATAAATTAGAGAATTCTCTGTGATCATTCAATAGGTATTAACATACGGCTACAATATAACTCTATTATGTGGTCTTCTATTTTACTATTTTTGGAAACTTTTTCCTAGGGGAGAAAAAAAGAAACTTTTACTTACTAATGTTAACATCTGTAGGGGATTATGTTAGATTTGGCAGGGAATGTTTTTTTAAAAGTAATGGCTTAGGTGAAGTACTAGAATAATTTATGGATTCCAACCGCCTTTATTCTAATTATTACTGGTACCTCAAAGTCAAATGAACAAATATGTAACAGTGTTGAGATTAAAATGTTCATTTTTTTTTGCATAATTTAAAAAGGCTCTTCATGAAAATTATACTGGTAGATATATTTTAGAAAACATAGATCCTAAATACCACCAGTTTCAGCATTCCAGTATCAGGATTATTTGATATATAAATTATGAAACCTAGATTTTACTTCCATACTAACTTTTCCATACTTTACTAGTGAATACTTATGAAATAAGCCATTGAACTGGAATGCAGGCCCCAGTGACCTGGAATGAAGAAAAATCTTTATTTGAAAAAAAGTCTATTTAAAATGTATTAGATTGAGTCAAAATGAGTTCTGAAGTGTAACCACGTAAATTTAATGACTGACAAAGGACACCATTCAAAATACTAAACATAAAAGGAATGGGCAGAAAATGTAAAGATACTACCAATTATTTTCTGCTTCCAAAGTAATCATGCTGACTCCACAGAACGTGCAGAAATATTCTCATTTCTGATCTTATTCCTTCCCGTTACATAGTGTCTCATGTAATTTGTTAGCATCTGAGGTTTGTTTCCCTTTTATAAAAGGGTCAGAGGAATAAAGGTAAAAGGGCTATAAATCAGCATTTTGCTAATCAGCCACAAGTTAGATAAAACGTTTCCATTGAGATTCTGAATCTGTGTTTTGTCCTAAAACAGCAGATGGGCTGAAACTGGGTTCCCAAGCATTATTAAAGGAGGGAATATGGGGTGTACCCCAATTCAGACTCTAGTGAGTGTGGGGGTGGTGGTGGTGAGTTACTTTAGAAGGCTTCCGAGTATAAAACTGAGAAAACAAGAACAGCGCAATTCTTTTGAGAGCCATACATTTTCATGTCGCTTGTTTCTGGGCAAAATTAGCACCTACATTCTCACATTTGTGAAAATGTTAACATATCATCATGCTTTATCATTTGGTGAAAAAATAACTCCGATTCCTCCTCCTCCCCACTACCGACCCCCTGCGGCTTGTTACATCGTACTTGACAAACCAATCTTTCTCAGGAGCAACTCTTACTATGAAATCTCTAAGTTTTCAGCCTCATCTACAGGTGCGTCCCCATTCCTTACTTGAACAACTGGAAAAATGTGTCCATGTCCAAAGGGAAGACGACTGGGAAGAGAAATACTTAGATAAGGGTGAAACTCTCATTAAAACAAGCAAACAAAAAAAACCCTTCCCACAAGAGCACGCCAGCGGGGACACGTGCAGCGAGGGGCGTGGGGACCCCAGAGGCTCACGGCACACAGGCTGGTCCGCCCTGCGGGCCGCCGGGACTCCCGGACGCGCGCCCCAAGGGCGGACCCGGGGCCGAGGCCTGCGCGGAGCAGCCACGGCCACGCCTGGTCGGGTCGGGCGGCCGGGTCTGGGCCCTGGGGACACCGCAAGACCGGCGTCCTGGGCTGCGGGGCGGGGAGCGCAGTACCTGCCACGCGGGGCCGGCGGGGCTCGCACAGCGGCGCGGCCCGGCTCTGCCCGAGGAGTTGGGCCGCGCGGCCGCAGGCGGCAACGGAACGCGCCCCAGGGGTCAGGCCCTGGCCCAGAGTACACAGCGTGCGCCGGGGCAGCCCCACAGCGCTGGGCAGGAGCCGGCTCAAGCTCCGCAGGTATTCCATGGCGTGGGGGCGAGCGGGAGGGGGCGGCAACACCCCACACCTTCATGCCGCTCGGTGGCTGGCCAGCCGGCACCAACGCGACCCCGCGCGGGGGCTTAAGGTGCGCCCGCTGCGTACTGAGCATGCGCGGGGCGCGCCGCGCCTGCGCCTCCTCTCCGGCGCATGCTCGGAAGATGCCTTTGGGGCGCGCTCCTTGCGTCCCGTGGCCAATCGGAGTTCGCGTCTCGTACCTGGAACGTGCGCGCAGACGGGCTTGGGCTGGTGGGCGGGGCGCGTCAAATGCGCGGCGCGAGTTGTCGAACCCGGATCCTTGCGCCCTTCGAGAGGTCAGCCCGGAGCGTAAAGGGTTATTTTTCTAAGTAACTAGGAATGTGAAGAAATACCCGGCTTGTGTAGAATGCTCTGCAGTTTCTGGAGCACTTTCATACATATGATAAAACGCGTATATTTGGAAGTGAGGAAGTTATGCCCATTCCTAACTCAATTTATATTTAAATTTATTGTAGCAGAAATAATTGTCCTATGGAATGATGTACTACGGCGTGTGAAGATTGAGGAACGTAAACCCACAAGATTTACACTCAGTATTTAATCAACTGTAAGATAGTGTCAATTTCAAGGATTCATTATGTACCACCAAGAAAGAAAAAATTATGCTTTCTAATTATATCATTTCAAGACTTATCCCAATTTCAGTCTTTAAAATACGAAAAAAAGTGGGTTTTAGAAGTGATTAAATACATTATATATGCATATTTTAAGGTAGTTAATAGACTTGTCTCTTCTACAGTAGTAATAGACGTGAGTTTCACAGATTCCCATTCAATCACTGTGTATAAACACAGCTGAGGAAACACAACAGCTTTTTTTCTTTCTTTTTTTCTGTAGGGTATTGAGAATGAAGCTGAATTAGGAAGCCAGCACAGAAGAGAGGATGTTTAACTTTAGCATTGAGGGCAAAGGAAAACATCAAGCATTAAAATCCGGAAAGAACGTACCTGGTAGATTTTTCATTTTATTAACAGCTTCAGTGATGAAGCTTCCAAAAACACGCCTTCAGAGACCTTTCTTTGAGACAACACGATAATTCTTTTTTTAAAAAAAATTGACCCCAGCTCAATGAGACAGCTCTGTTTGAGATATCCTTGCAAAGTCTTAGAAAAGCTCTGGGACATGGCCAGACACATCACCTTGCAATTCATGTCAAGGATTTGGAATTTAATCTGGGAAGAGTGGGAGCCATGGGGGGACTTCAATGAACAGAGAGGTAATGATCTGCTGTATGTTTAAATGGGTCATTCTGGCTGCGTGGGGAAGACATTACAGAGAGATAAGTGTAGAGACAGAGAGAGAGAGATGATGGTGTGTGCCAAGGTGGGTGATGGAGACGGGGAGACAGGGCGAGCTTGCTGCTATGTATTGAAGACTGATTTGACAAGATTTGCAAGAGGGATGTAAGTAAAGAGGCATAGAAGTTGACTCCAAAATATTTTGCCTAAACAACTGGGCAATCATGGTGCCATCTACTGAGAGGGAATTTTAGAATGGAAGAAGTTTAGTTGGAGATCATGTTATGGGATGGCATTTGTTTCTGGACATGTTGAATTTGAAAGCTCTACTAAAGAGATATCAAGCAGGGATAACAAGTAAGCAGTCTGGAGTTTGGGGGAGACGTTGGTGCAAGACATATATATTGGGGGCTATATAGAGGTATTTAAAGCCATAGGGCAGGGTAAGATCTCTTAGGAAGTGAGACAACCAAGAGTAAAGTTCTTATGATTGAACTCTAGATCTTTTAGCATTTAATGGTTAAGGACAAGAGATGGATCCAACGGAAGAATATGAAAAGGGGTGGCCAGGAAAGAGGAATAAAATCAGAGGGTGGAATCCTTGAAGCGAAGTGAAGAAAGTATCAGGAACGAGGAAGTGCTCAATTATGTCAAATGCTACTGACACGTAAGATGAGAAATGAGAATCACCTATGTTGGAAGTGACACTTTGTGGAGTTTCCTGGTGATCATGATAGGAGCAATTTCCTTAGAGTGGTAGGGAATGGGATCTGGATTGTCATCTTCCATGGCCCAAGCTATGACAGGATCCCAGAAGATTTCTGTACCTGTATAACAATTTAGCCTTCAGGTTCTTTAATCTCTTTGCTTAGCTCTGGAGCTCCAAAGCACGTCAGTTACCTTAACCCAGCCTCACACACTGGACTGTGTTCTTACCCAGAAGTATTTTGTGTCTGAAATCTTATACCAATAATACACTCTCTGACCCTAACCTCCTGGAGGCTTTATACCCACAACAATTATAGTCCCCCATCAGACCCTTGCCAACTTTTCTCCCTTCTCTACCTAGCCCAGATTATGTACTTACCATCTGAAACCACTATGACTAGTACTCAGAACACATGGCATTCATGGGGTGTAATCATAGAAGCCACTTTATTTTTGTCCCTCCAAACCTGCTGAGTGGGGCTAGTCCTTCTCTGGCCTCTTAAAAAACTTAGGTGGGTTCCATGACTTTCCTGGTCTCTCAGTCCTATGTTAGCTCCAGCACCAATTCAGTAATTGAAAATGTGCACTCCATACATTATTTTCAATTTAATAATTTGCAGTGTCAGACCCTGTATACTAATCACCGCTGCAATACTAATTCAAAGAAAAGACTTGATTCCTCTCTTCTTTTTTTTTTAAGATTTTATTTATTTATTCGAGAGAGAGAGAGAATGAGAGATAACACGAGAGGGAAGAGGGTCAGAGGGAGAAGCAGACTCCCCGCCGAGCAGGGAGCCCGATGTGGGACTCGATCCCGGGACTCCAGGATCATGACCTGAGCCGAAGGCAGTCGCTCAACCAACTGAGCCACCCAGGCGCCCTGATTCCTCTCTTCTTGTTGAGCCTGGAGGCAAAGAAGAATTTTTGGTGTGGATGGGGATCCAAGACAACTCCCCCAATCCCTTCCCACTCCCTTTCTTACTCTGTGGCTGCCATTTCTGACTTTGCTGGGGCCAGTGAAGCCAAGTAAGAATGAATGGAACATTTTTACCAAGAGATGGCATCGTGTTCTCTATAGGCAGGGCAGGTTTTAGAGCTGACCTCTTTGTGGGCTGGTCCAGGGTTCTCTGGAAGACCTCCCCCTCCCCCCAGGCCTATCTGGTTGCCATTTTTTTGATATGAACAGTGACCCTCCTGATCATTTACAGATTCTGCCTCTTGCCTCAAATGACCGGGTTTCTCTCTTCCCCACATGCTGCTCTTTTGGGCAGGATCCTTTAAAAAACAACCCAGACTGATATTTCCCGTCATGTCTGCATCATTAGAGGGAACACAGTTACTTCCCTGGCATAGAGCTGCTATCTATCCCCTGCTTAGGTATGAGCCTATGACATTTTTAAGCCCTTGGAGGGATCTTAAAAAGTTCCTCTCACTAGACTTGAGGTGAGTGGCAAGCACTCCACTTACCCTTTTTCTGGAAGCTTTTCTAAATCTTCCACACAGGGAGGTCAGGGACAGCCTTTCTCAGGAAATGACACTTTAGTTGAGACTGGGATGCATAAGCATTAGCAACATGCCAGTGAGGGACTAAGAAAAATGCCCAACGAAGTAAAAAAAATGGGTGGGAAGACCAGTGTTATTTGGCCATTGGAAGAACTGACAGAGATGGCCTTGTCTGGAACATGGTGTTCGAGTGGGTCTAGGGGAGGCCAGAGTGGCAGGCCGGAACTGGGCTTTAGACAAGTTAAAGAGGGCGCCTGGGTGGCTCAGTTGGTTAAGCGACTGTCTTCGGCTCAGGTCATGATCCTGGAGTCCCGGGATCGAGTCCCGCACCGGGCTCCCTGCTCAGCAGGGAGCCTGCTTCTCCCTCTAACCCTCTCCCCTCTCATGTACTCTCTCTCTCTCATTCTCGCTCTCTCAAATAAATAAATACATCTTTAAAAAAATAGATAAGTTAAAGATTTCATTTTTTTCAATTTCATTCAATTTCATTTCATTCAATTTCTCAAAGATTTCATTCTTTGAGAAATGGGGAAACTATCAAAGGCTTTTAAACAAGGGGAAGGATTCCATTTTCATATGGATGGATGGATGGATAGATGGATGGATGGATGGATGGATGGATGGATGGATGGATAGATGGATGGATTTAGTAGGCTCCATGCCCAGCGTGGAGCCTGATGTGGGGCTTGATCCATGACCTTGAGATCATGACCTGAGCCAAAATCAAGAGTCAGATGCTGAACCAACTGAACCACCCAGGTGCCCCTCCACTTTCATTTTTAAATGATCACCTTGGACTGTCTTTGGGGAACAGTGGAAGCAGGAAGACCACTGGGTGGCTTCTGCGGGCATCTTTACAAGACTTGATGGGGCGCTGGGTGCGGGCAGGGACAGAGGTTATGGAGAGGGAAGACTGGAGAGATAGATGGAAGTAGGGTGGTAGGACTTGGTGATGGGTAAGGAGAAGGCACACTAGTCTGCGAGGGCCGCCATAACAAAATTTCACAGACTGGGTGGCTTAAACCACAGACATTTGTGTTCTGACAGTGCTGGAGTCTGGAAGCCCAGGATCAAGGTGCTGGCAAGTTTGGTTTCTCCTGAGACCTCTGTCCTGGGCTTGCAGAAAATGACCTTCCCCCTGTGCCCCCGCGTGGACATTTTCTGTACGTGCTCATCCCTGGTCTTTCTCTGTGTGTCCTCATCTCCTCTTCTTGTAAGGACACCTGTTTGATTGCATCATGACCCACCCTCCTGACCTCATTTTTATTTAATTACCTCCTTAAAGGGCCTGTCTCCAAATATAGTTATATTCTGAGGTACTGGGGGTCAGGGCTTCAAAATATGACTTTGGGGACACAAGTCATTCAATAACAGAAAGTAAAGATGAAACCATGATTCTGGGAGAAGCAAGATGGTGAATGATGGTGCTACGTACTGAGTCAGGGAAAGCTGGAAGAAGAAGAGTTGAGAGGAAAGATTGGGAATTCTATTTTCGACCTGGGACCTGTTGAATTTGAGATTGAGTACATCTCCAGATGCATTGCTCTGCAGCGGGGAAGGGAGTCTAGGCTAGATAGGTAACTGTGGGAGTTTGG